CTCTCTCCCTTCTAGCACTGATAATGTTCCCTAGTTGGGTCATGAAATGTCTGCAAGAAAACAACCAAGCTGAGAGAGCACCAAAGACGCCGTAGGCCTTATCTTCCTTCTCTTCTTCCCCGCCTGCAAACCTCACTCCTTTCTAGCACTGATGATATCACCTAGCTGGGTAAGGGAATATCTGCAAGAAAACAAGCTCACAGGGCACCGAGGATCTCATAGTTGTCGTCTCCTCCTCCTCTTCCTCCTCCTCCCCTCCCTCCCCCTTCCCCCCCTTCCCCCCCCCAACTCATTTCTATGGTAGCACTGATGTTGTTACTTAGTTGAGTACTGAAACATCTGCAAGAAAACTACAAAACTCGCACTTCGGCCCTGACTACGAATACTCCGTTCTTGTTGCTACTTTGTAGTGATGTGGTGAAAACCGAAAAACTTCTGATAGAGGAAAGAAAAACAGCTGATCGCCGGTTGCACACCATGGAGTTCCTAATGAAAAAATCGGAAGACATCAAAGGCGAAATTAAATCCGCCAAGGTACGTCGGACCAGACTGCTAAAAGTTCTGAGGAAGGAAATTGATATTTTGGGGGACTGGGGAAAAAAAAAAAGGAAAGAATTTTTTTTCTTTAAAAAAAAAAAGTATGGTTTAAGTTCCTGCAGGTCCCCATCCTACCATCTGAAATCTGGGAACATCTGTTTAAAGGGGATCCCAAAAGAGGAGGAATGGAGGACAAATGAGAACAAATCCTCTTGCTTGGATTTTGAAGGGAAAAAAAGCAGAAGCTTACAGTAAAAGTACTTTTTAGGCTGTATACCTTTAGATCTCTCTTGCTGAGAGGTTCGTCTGCAAAGGAAAACCTTCATGTTTTAAAGAACGTGCTTTTCCGTTAGAAAAGTTACTGTTCTGCCTTTTAATTGCTGTCTGAATATAAAGACAGTCAGGCAAACTCTACGAAGGCTTCCTTCCGTACGAAGTTTCTTTATTGGGTCACAAGGCATCCTCGAAGTATAACTCACGGTTATGTTGAGATCCATCTAATGTCCAATCTTCGCATAGATGACTTCATAGTGTAAAAATAGAGTTATCTTCATCCCATAAGGATGGAGCAAAGGGTGAGACGCCCACACGATGCTGGGGTCCGAGCAAGAGTCAAGGAAACTCCCCCCCAACCAAGGGTCAGTTCAGTGACCAATCAGATGTGGCCACATGACATGAACTACATTTCTCATGATGCATTAACTAAATTTACCATGAGGCATTCCCTTAAAGAAGACAGCTCCCAATTCCCAGTTAAATTATCCCAATTCCCAATTAACTACTGTCTGGACAGCATAGTTAGCCTCAGTTCCTAGAGTCTGTATACATGCATCCAGGATATTTTTGCGGGGGTGGTGGGGGAAAGCAATTTTATGGAAACTGTGATCTCCCAGTCAACTGCTATCCACGTTTGATTCTTTTTAGCTTTCAGACTTGGAAAACTGATAGGAGAGAATATTTGAACTTTAGGGATTGAACTGTTGGGATCTTTGGCGCTCTCAGAACCTGACGGTTTTTTTGCAGATATCCCATCGCCCAACCGGGTGACATCATTGGTAAAGCTCAGCGAGTACCAATGACGCCACAGATCAACCCTAAACTCCAAATATTCTCTTGTATTGGGATTTCTTTTTCTTTCTTTCTTTCTTTCTTTCTTTCTTTCTTTCTTTCTTTCTTTCTTTTCCTTTCTTTTTCTTCTCCCTTCCCTTTCTCCCTTTCTTCTTTTTCCTTCTTCCTTCTTTCTCTTTTTTCCTTCACCCTTCCTTCTCTTCCTCCCTCCCTCTTTCTTTCTTCCTCTCCTTTTGCCTTTTCCCTCCCTCCTTTTTTTTCTTTTTCCTTTTTCCTTCCTTCTTTTTCCTTCTTCGTTCCCTCCCTCCCTTTCATCTTTCTTCACCTTCCTTTTTTCCTTTTCCTTCTTCCTTTTTCCTTCCTTCCTTCCTTCCTTCCTTCCTTCCTTCCTTCCTTCCTTC